ATAATTTCTTTAAATTATTATTATTTTATTACATTAAAATAAATAATAATTTGAAGAAAATAGTATTGTTGTGTGTGTTTTTAAAGAAAAGAGTCGAAATACTTTTACAACTATAACGAGAAAACAGACCACTTATTCCTTAAATCTCTCTTTCTCTGTCTCTCTCTGTCTACTTCTTGCTTTCTTTCTATCTATATCTTATTTGATTTTGCGGTCAAATTATTCCACCCCCTCATCCTCCGCTTTCTCTCTCTTTTATATAACTCTCCATTTCTTATCCCGTTTTTTTCCACGCATCAATATTGGTATAGTAAAGGTACTTGTCAAAGTAGGGGACATAGTAGGGGAATATGGAACATATACGCCTTCTTTTCATGAGGATTACTCGAAAAAAATTTTACATGATTTTCTTCAAAAAACAGGCTAGAATCATTTAATTGTTATAGGCATTGCAATAATGTATCATGAACTGTTACTCTTCAACACTTTCAGGGAATATACTAATTACATAGTGGCTAATACTAAATCAAGAATCTTGTTTTCATACACATTTTGTAATTTTTAAGTGATTCTTATGGAAAACATTGGGTTTGGAAATAAATTAATTAAAGTAGAAAAACTAAACATTTGCCTTTAGATCTATTCAGAAAGTCTAATTGGCCGTGATGTTCATTTATTTTAAGAATCGAGTTCACTTGCCCAAATATTTTAGAAAAAGTACAAACGTTTTACTAAGTATGACCCTTATTTGGTGGTCGGCTTTGGGTCCCTATGGTGCTTTTACTTTATTAGGATACACGAGTGAACTAATGAAAGAAAATTAAACGTCTTTCAGTCTGTACCGCCCTTAAACCTCTCTGCCATCTCTGCTGTTGCTCTCAGAAGCTCCTACGTATATTGGACTCTGCGTGGCCCCGCCCCCTTTGCGCTGCCCGGCCGGGGATGGGGCTCCCCCCCCCCCAGCTTCCGCCTCGACTCCTCCGGCTGCCGTCTGACCCGGCCGGCCCACCCGGTTCCGGGCGGAGAGGCAAGGCGGAATACGACCCTGCTAAATCCCTCACAATTGTCAGCAGGCACGCCCACACCCGGCCCAGCAAGTCGGGCTCCGCCGCGCCACCGACAAGGACATGCGACAAGGGCCTCGAGGAGTCGTCGCGTAGGTCAACGTTGACATACTTCCCAGCATGCTGCTAGGGATTCAACATCAATTGAATCGTTTATTTGAGAAACACGTCTAACGCCAAATTTATTTAGAGAAAACTAATAAAAAACTCCCAATTTTTCTGATTTCAAAATATTTTTATTTATTAAAGCAGTTAATAAGCGAATATTTGTCATTTAAATGTGAACTAAAAGATGTGTCTATCCTCTTGGAGTAATAATCCACTGCTAATGCGTGTTTTGGTTTTTGGCGTTTGACAGGTTTCTGAAAAAAACGATTCAATTATTTTAGTCTTCGCAAATACCAAGTCAAATTATTCTAGTCTTCGCACCTATTCTAGTCAAAGGAATAGGTGTATTTTTGGGCATCACTATGGAAAGTAGGAAGGATATCAGCCAATTAAGCCGTTAGTAAAGGTTCGCTAAAATTTCAATTTTTCCTGCCAATAGGTCAAGCGCTAGTATTGTTCACAGCCTGACGTACTGAAGGATGGATGGACGTTTAGAATAAAAACACTTTTTCGGTGTCAGCGGACTCCAAAACGTGTACTTCTGTAGAAATATTGGAATGGATTTTCCGCTGCATTATACAACTTTCTTTATACTACGTATATTGCTGTATATATACGTTCCGCGTATACGATAATGTACAAAGATTATTATTAATAAGTAGTTGACACAGTTTCCGTGTTTGTAAGTTATAATTTAGCCTTAAAAATGTTTAGTACTTTACTTCTAAATATTATTTCAAAAACAGGGATGAATTTGTTTTTATTTTATCTCCATAGAGCAATGTGATTCAGCTTCTATGAAAGACGTGAATTTGTAAGTTATTTCATCAAAGAGTGATGGAATGGCACCCAATATATCATACTAATGTGTACATTATAATGGTCTTTTATCTGAAGCAATTAATGGAAACCTATTGTAGTCGTTTATAATTAAGTGAATGGTCTGATTAGTGTAATTCAAAAATTTATTATCAGTTTGGGAATTATTACGAACGTAATGCATTCGTATAGCACACCTGATTAAAGGTATTAATATGTATTTATTACCAAAGCGGATATTCCAAATCAAGTGCTTTCGTTACCTGATTGAAACTTCGTTGTTTGTTCCGACATTCACTAATGGGCTTTGTTTCCTATCCTCTTTAGAAACACATTGCTCATTCACATGTGTGGAATCAATTACTATTGCGAATGATTGCGGAGGTAATCTCGTGTATGCTTTTATGGTTTTTGAGGTAATTTAATGGTGACAAGAAACATGATTTCTCTATCTGATTCATTGACTGCAATAACTCAATTGACATGGTTAAACATGATTAAATTATTTTATTTAAAAATATATTCACCAAGAACAATAAGATATCTGATATTCACAATTAACAACAAGCAAATAAAAATCCATCATGAGATTGAGAATTAGCATTGGTATCTACCTTGGTGATGTTCTTAGTCATTATCTTTTATGTAATGCCTCGTGTCACCTCTCCTTTTTGTTCGAACGTATTGCAGTGTAATGAACTGAAATGAATGACCTATAAAATATAATGGAAGTCATCTAATATTAGAAGTATACATATCTCTGCCTCACAAAAGATGCAACAAAAATATAGAACAACTATCATACATGGACAGAGAGATGGATCCATGAGTTGAAAATGCTTTCTAAATTAAATCTGATTCAATAACTATATTAAAAAACTGAATTGTAAATGTAATAATAATGAACATTGAGAAGGTTAAATACCAAAAACATTTGACAATGTGTTGCGTATATAAAGTCCTATAATATCATTTTGGAGTATGTTCTTTGCCAACTATATATAGTTTGTTGAAATCATTTAAATTCTACTTTAACATTAAAGGAATGAATTTAAAATTGAAATCTAGTCCCGTAGTGGTGTGAGAAGCGTCCACTTGCTAGTTGCTAGATGCAATGCTAGGTGACCATCACCCTTTAATTTCAAAATGGTTAAGGTTGCCAGATGTTTCGAACAAACATTCGCCGTTAGATGATGTAAATCTGTCCAGTTCCGCTCAATAACAAAATTCAACATTCCAAGCGAGAAATTTGAATTTGCATTGAAATATTTCTACTAGAAAGGTTTTTGTGATAGGGACGCCATAAAATCCTCCATTAGTTTTAATTTTTGTTTGTGAACATTGTAATTAATAATAATAATAATAATAATAATAATAATAATAATAATATGTATGTAATACGTACACTTTGTATGTCTTAATATTTAAAATTTAGTTACAACTATTCTTAGAGTTGATGGGAGGAATACTTTAAAGGACAAAATAATTTCCCCACTTTCCTTTTTCATTCTCCTTGCTCATTCTAAATATCCACGCTTAAAAATATTACCACAGATATGCTTATATAAGCACGTGAATGCCTTATGGCTTAACGAAAAATGCTGCAGGTGATATTATACTTCCAAAAGATGACTAATTTTAAATGGAATGTTTTAAAATTAACCTGAAGTACTGCCAATGTGGTATATATTCATGTTTGGGCACGGCAAGTGAGTATGACTTTTAGAACACACTCTACTAGTGGTCTAAAAAGTAAAATTACTCACTTCTCAAAGTAAGTTTGAGCGAATTAATTAATGATTAATGAAAAATAATGTATAATATAAAAAACCAAGAAAATAACTCTCTATCACCGTTGTTGTGGTTGTTTTTTGAAAATTTCGTCATTATCTGAAAACCAGTCCAAAAGCGCACATGTTTTGATGCATTTCCTCCCCTTGAGCGTTATTCCACAAAGTCATTTTTTGTCCCGCGAAGAAGAAAACTGTTTCCCTGCCCCAGAAACGAGCATTCTACCCAATATGGCAACCCTGCGTTTTTCATGTGGCCCAGCTCTCCTTACAGCGCTTATCCGAGCCCAGTTGACCCGCCCAATATGGCAAACCTGCTTTCGTCATGTGGCCGAGCTCTCCTTGCAGCGCTTATCCGAACTCAGTTGACCCGCCCAATATGGCAACCCCGCATTCCGCCCAATATGGCAACCTTGCTTTCGTCATGTGGCCCAGCTCTCCTTAGAGCGCTAATCCGAGCTCAGGTGACCCACTTCTCCGCGTCAGCCGGAGGAAACCGTAAGTACCCCTGTACAGAACGAATGGAGGTGAATAATTCGCCCATAATTCGTCCACGCGCCCGGACGCTGCCCATTTAATGGCAGGACACCACGTGAGTAATCCCAGATGCCTCTTCACCAATCACGTCGCTGGAAATCTTGGCGTTCTCCATGCTGTCATCATTCGTCTGAGCTATTTTGGGCTGTTTCCGTTCGCCTCTTCTGATAAAGTGGATCTAGTCCGCAGCCTTTGTTTTAACGGAGGTGTAAATAAGGGGCTTCAGTATTTGAACGCGATGATTTGCGTTATTAAACATTTCATTGGTCTGAAAATATGTATTTATAGTGAAAAAAAAAGTATATAGTTTTCAATAATTTTAAATTGAATAAGTAAAATTATAAAATAAAAATATCGGAATACGTTCATGAAATTACAGAAAACCACCTATTATATTTCAAATTACTTATTCAAGGGGTAAACACCTTCTGTGGTACTAATTAGAATATGTAACTTCAAGATATGTCATCATGTTATAAAAGGGGTAAATATTCAGTGTAGTAATAACAATATTTTAAATGAATGTAAAATATGGTGCGAAACTGACTAGGAGCTTTAATCATGATATATCTATAATTCTGTGAAATATTTATTATACACTTCTCTAAAAAGTTAAGCGCAAATCAAAAGAGAATTGACAAATGCGAATACTAGCATCGTATTGGAAACAAAGATAAGAGATCATATTTGTTTGTAAACATATTTATACTCTGATAAAAGCGCCATAAGATAAACAGCCCAAGAATAAATAATGAAAATAGAGAGAAAACTAGGATATTCATTATTTTATTGCGGTACCGCATGCAAAACTGTGAAAACGCTTATTATCGTGAGATATTCTCGCGTTGCACATTACTGTAATTTACAAAAGCCTTCAACACGTTTCAGAAACAAAAGCATTCTCTTTTTCTTGCATGAGCTGTCATTTACAATAGTCTATTGAACATATATATTAAATGGCGTTAACATTGATAACTAGTTAGGAGGATACATTGGAAAAAGGAGTCCAAAAATTGGGCATTGCAAAAATGAAGATATTTTTGTATCCGATTGTTTGGTATCAATCAATGTTTGCCATGTAGAGAGAATTGACATTGTGAATTCCATGCAAAGCGCTACAAGCTATTGACTTCCAATGCGTATTGTAAGTTGTGCTTTGGTGAATATTGATAACAATCTGTTACACTTGTCTAAAATTATATATTTACCATTTATATAATTTTTAGTCGTTATTTATAGTTTCTTTGTATGTCATCACATTCCTCACATTTTAAGTTACTTTACCTTACAAAACAATGTATAGTTTTATTTTTGCATTATCATGTTCCTTTTTTATTGTATTTTTGTAAATTCTCTAGATTTTTCAAATCATGGTCGTGACCACTATTGCCAATATTTATTTGTTGATTTGTCGAAGCACAGCAAAGAAGGACAACGATGCTTCTATAATCTGAAACAAAAAAAATGTAAAAATCAGTGTTCAACATAATTATTGTAATATTGTCATACAATGGTACTTGTTAAGTACTGTGGTGTTTATTTTTCACCTTCCCCTAAATCCAGTTGTATATACCGATATTTGCTTATAGTTCCAAACTTTACGTGGATACTTTTGAGCAGACAAGGAAAGAGACAAGAAGTCTCGCGATGCCAATTTGTAATTCGAAACTTGGCAACTCCCTGCTTGTTTAACTGAAATAGGTAATTGAAATAGGTAATGCTGAGAGGGCGCCTGTTGGCGGGCGACTAGATTGTTGCTAGCCATTTCAGTCAGGCGTGTTGTACATGGACAGGAACGGATCTGGTCACGTTGGGTATTTCATCTAGAATGTTCTTATAATAAGAGCAGAATATAATAAAAATAAAAGCAATCAAAGGATCAAAACAAACATTAAAATATTCGACCCCAGAAAGTCTACCTGGAGTAACTTATTTTCTACGTTTTCGCGGAATGTTTGGGAATCGATGTGTCATTATTCCGAGAATTGAAAGACTGCTAGCGATATGATCCATTCCATTCATAAACTAAGATAAATGTTTTGGCATCTGTCACGTGGGAATTGAAGAACAATAACCACGATTATTCGTACGCTACCTAAACCAAGGAAAGTTGTGTTGGAGCACATGTGAGTGCGCAACAGCCCTCGCTTACAAGCAGTGATTTGCGAGTCCCACTCTGCACCACGGTACTGTTCGCATTTGCTTCAGAAGATGCCCTTTAATCGGGAGCTGCTGCGGCGACTGGCGGCTCAACTACGCGTTGGGACGTTTAAGAGAATGGCTCAGGTCTCATGTTCGTTGAAAACTTTGGCTTTTTCAAAAATTGTAAAAGTTCAAAATGTTTTTGGAGTCTTCCTACATCTAAAATATTTAAGATAGAGATTTTCCCCTCAACTACTTTTTTCTTAAAGATAGTTTTTAAAATAAGGTCATGGACAATTTTTCGAAAAATTGAGTACTTTTGACGTAATTTTGCGTGAAAATAAGGAGGATAATGTTATACGGTTTAGACATCACTAGTTCACGTTATTATACGAGTATTTACTCAATTCAAGATTAGTAAAATTGAGTGCTATACTGCATTCAACTCGTCTGTACAATAAAGTGTAAATAATACTTATTGATGAACTGCAGCTTAAACAGTTTTCATTAATGATGACAAATGTTTCAACGTTTTAAGGTGAAGCTGTACTGAAAAGGGCGGCACAAAATATCACTTTTGGTCTCTCTAAACAAAAAAATATTTCTTTATAGCTTTTGTATGGAACACTTGATTGATAGATGTGATTGTGTAGATGGTATTACAAAAAAGCACGAGTTGAAATTAACATTTTCATAATATGTAAAATTTTTGCAACTTTGAGGATTAATAGTACAGGTACGGGTGGTCAAAAACTATACACGTTGTCTCATTCAATACAAATTTGAATGCCCTATAACTTTCATGTTTTCGATATTGTGAACCCTTTACGAAATATAACTGAAAAACAGCAAACATTTCGAGGTCCTTCCCCTCTCCACTTAAGTACAAATCCGCCGAGAGAGAAAACGTAGGATATTCAAATTGGGTGAAAATTGACGTAATTAAAATAATAAAATCTTTTATTGCAATTATTTTCTATTCGTCTCCTTTCTTGCCATAACCCAATATTTCTTTCTTACTTTGGGAAAGTTCAATTTTAAGAACTGGTGACAACGGATAAGATACACTTCGAGAAGGCATGTAGTGTATATTATGATGAATATAGTATAGAAGGAATATAACCTGTTAGTATTTTTGGTCAGTGTTGCGTCGGTTTAGCTGTCATTAAAGGAAACTTTTTCATCAATAAATATGTGCTATGTAGCTACAGAAGTGGTATACAATGGGAGAGATTCTAAAGGGGTTAGAATGATCTCCATTAGAACGTTTACCTCACGCCGATGTATCCCTTGGAGCCTTTTCAGTTTTATACAGATATTTATAACTATATCTGTATACAGTGAAGTGGGCTTGCTGCTTGTGTAATTTTGGAGACCAAGTCCACTGCGCGCGGAATACACTACAGAGCACTTGTTACTGCTATTCCCATAGAATTCTTCCCATATAAGGATTATGGTTTGGCAGTGATTTATGAGGGATGAAAATTGCCTTCTAGGTGTGTAATAACTTCAAACAATCATCCTTTCGCTGGGTTCAAACTCACGTGGTGTCGGCGTAATTCGGGCAAATTTAACCGAAAACTTACGGTCACCATAGGTACGAACTATATAAAAGTGAAATGATATTGATAAGTGTGTAAGTACCACAACATTTTGTGCATATTTTTGTACTGTTGAACAATAAGAATAAAAATACTGGGAGCTGAGATTAAACATGTTACCGAAAATTGTTTTACAAAATATTTTGTTTAATGCAACCCGCAACGCACTGGTGTATTACCGGCTTGCATTTCAGGAGCGTTCAGGGTGGGGTTGGATGAGACGGGACCTGACAGTGCGAGATGGACACGAAGAGGGGAAGGTATGACGGAAATGAGAGAGGAGCAACCTAGCGAGTGAGAAAAAAGAGGAAGAAGAACTGAGATAAACAGAGAGGAAGAAAGAGAGACAAGGAGAGGACAGGAGAAAGGTGAAGCAAAATGGGTGGGTTTGAGAGGGTCCCAGAAAGACGAATAATGGAGGGAAGGGGCGGAACTTGGAGGTGTGTGGATTGTGCGAGTATAGGTGGGGGCGGAACGGCTCGAGTGGGTGGGGCGATGCGGGGCGGGACAGAGCAAAACGGGGAGAGGCGGAGCTGTGCTAGGCGGTGGCGGGATGATGCGCGGAGAGCAGGGTGGCGCGGGCAAAACAAAGGCGGGTCGAGGCAGTGTGTGGTGAAAAAGAACTGAACGGAATGGAACGGAGAAAACCGGAACGGTGTGAAGTGAAGTGGTATACAACGAAGGGTATAGTGTGAAGCAAATTGGAACGTGACAAGAGAAATAAATAAAATTGCTTCCATTTCACATTGTAGTTAGAACTGATTCCTTTGCCTGTCTAATAACTGATAAACTAAGACCTGGACAACCGGGCAGGATAAAATAAACCGTGGAGTTACTTCCCCTAGTTATATCCAAAAGAATTCTAAACATGGATTCGTAGGCATACGCGGCCGGAGTCTTTGGATACGTGGCGATTCACTATGAGCCGCGTCTCAGTCGATCGAGCTGACGTTTCGGCCTTCTTCAGAGCTATATTGTTGCTTCAGCAGTATAGCTCTGAAGAAGGCCACAGCGCGATGTCCGAAACGTCAGCTCGATCGACTGAGACGCGGCTCAACCAGGGCACCCAAATATTCAGAATTCTAATCAGCTCACCACGAAGAAGCTGTGAAGAGAGGTGACGTTTCGGCCATCGTGTTGTGGTCTTTCTCAGAGCTCTACATCTGTATAGCTATATGGCTGCTTCAGCAGTGTAGATCTGAAGATGGCCACAACACAATGGCCGAAATGTCAACTCGTTCGGCTGAGACGCGGCTCACCCCAGGCACCCAAATATCCAGAATTCTAATCAGCTCACCCCAAGGAAACTGCTGCGAAATGACTTTTCGGCCATCGTGTTGTGGTATTCCTCAGAGCTATACCGCTGTATATCTACACTGATGCTTCAGCAATGTAGCTCTGAAGAAGGCCACAACGCGATGTTCGAAACGTGAGCTCGATCGACTGAGACGCGGCTCACCCCGGGCACCCAAGTATCCAGAATTCTAATCAGCTCACCACGAGGAAGCTGTGCAGCGAGATGACGTAGAACTTCCCGGCGGTGAGCTCGAGCGGCCGCTGCGCGCGCAGGATGATGAAGGCGAGTGAGTGCTTGAAGACGTTGCTCGAGTCCAGCCAATCACAGTCGTACGCAGCCGTCGCCACAAGTTCGCTCTGCAACCAGCGATACCATTGACTGACACTTGTAATGGATACATTATGTTTCCGAATGCGTCAACAGCTACGAATCTTAGTCCCGTAAGTGTAATACATATTGTAGCGTCATAGGCTTATCATTCTGTGCCGAGAGACAACCTGAAAGGTAGGCGGACGTAATTAAAAATAACCACCGGACAAAACCAGAACTTTTCTAGGGGGAGGTGGCGAGCTACGAGGTGCCGTGCGCAAAAGAAGCGGTAGTTTGGCCACGTCAGAGCAGATCGTGGAAGGTAGATGACGTACGAGGTCACGTGATTCGGCTCTTTATAAGGCAGCGTTACGGGACCTCCCATGCGGTAACGAATTTTGTTTTCCTCGCAGTTAGACTGAAAAAAATATCATCCTTCTAATTATTATCTTTCTAAGACTGCAACAACTTGGTTCGACCAAGCTGGCGCGGAATTCTTATGCACGAAGTAGTGTTTCGATGTGTTGGGCCGTGATAAGTGGTTCTCGACCAGAGCAGGTCAGACCGTGTATTTACCGACGCACATCAGATGTCTAGTGCGAGTTGCCTAATCGCGTGCGCATCCGCGCGTGTAGAGAGCGGGCTGATGTATATAGTCCACCTGTGTCTGTTTCCTTGTCCACAACGTCTTATTAATGACGAGAGATGAGTATTATCTTCTCCCGTTCGATGGTGAGGTGTATCGTCGATCTACTCGTCAAATTTGGAAGTTTATGCCGTAAGCTAGCAACCTGTGGCGGATTTGGTGTGTGTGTGTGTGTGTGTGTGTGTGTGTGCGTGCGTGTGTGTGCGTGTGTGTGTATGCGTGCATAGGAGTCATGTGTGATGGGATCCTCCACAATTTATTGAATAAAACGCAACTCATAGATAAGAAATTTCAGTAGTTACCACAACCTCACAAGAGGCAACTTTAAACAAAAAAATAAAAAATTAGAATTGGAGAGTTTCAAAATGCCTGATACTTGTGGAATATGAAAGGTTTTGACTTTTAATATTAAAGATTAGAATGGTGATAATTTATTTGTGTTTCCTTTTTTGTAAAATTACATAAAAATGTGGTGAAAGCTAATTTTTACTATTAGGAATGCAATTATACTACATGAACAAATACTTCTTAATGCTTAAATTGTTTCAAATCTTTTAGTAGACACTTCAGTGTCCATTACTTAATCAAGTATCTTGAGATAACCAAAATATTTGCTGTCCCTAGGGTATAAGACGCTATCCTTTGTTGAATTTAATATTTCATTTTTCACTAATTTTCAAAATATTAGTGACATAAATTAAGGAAATTCATGATTTTTTATTTCAACTACTTCTGCAACGATACCTTCCCTTTTAATAACTCATATATTTTTATCCACCATTATCCTCTCAGGGCAGTAACCTTCGCGAGTCCAATGTTTATCAAACGACGTCATAGATCTTCATTAGCGAGCATTGAAGCTCTGGGAGTTTCCAACGCCTTGCTTTCAGGCGTCTGGCCTTCGCCTGCTCCCCATCAGCCCGTCTAATCCCCCCTCCAAACCTCCAGCGGTCTTTGATCACTAGATCACACCCCTCCTCCCGCTGGCGTTACTTCATCACCTACGTGTCTTGCCTTTTGCCCTACATTTTGGTTTCTCAATGTGTTCGTCGCTTCCTTACTATTCCTTCCCGCGCTTGTTCCGCTCCTACACATTCACTCCGTTCCTCTCACCGAGAGAGGTGGCTCAGGACATCAGATCATGTCCCGGCAGTGCATCTGAGAGGAAGGTTTTAGGTTTCCGACGGCGGTGGAAGGATTTTTGACACTAGCTTGTCAGCTTTGTCGAATTCAGTTGCAGTCTGCAGGAGAATTCTAGATGCTGCCTGCTCTAATCAATAGTTTTCCGTGGTTTCTGCGATGAACATCAGGCGAATGCCGGAGCAGTATCCTAAAAAACGGGCCACGAACTGCGCGCGAATTTTCTTTCCTGTTCATTGTCCTATACTCACCTTCTACTTTCGCACATACTAACATGCACTACACTACCATACATACCGGGAGACCGGTCGGGAGTTTAGATCTTTTCCCGGCTGAGTGATGCCCCGCTGGTGAGAGATACCTGGTTGGGGCCAAACCTCTCTAACCCACGGTAGGTCGACGCAGAATATATCCATTCAGTGGGAGACGACCACAGACACCTCCCGAGGAAAAAAGCATACACTGAACATACGGGACCATAGCAGTTGACGCGCCCGGAATCACTAACAATCAATCAATCCACTCCTTCGCCACTCTAGCCCCCGCTCCGCTTCCACTCTTGCCCGCTCCCTCTCCGTCACCTCACTGGAACGCTCGTATCCTTCTCTAGTTTCTAATCCCGCCTCGCTGTCGCTCCATCCCCGTCCAACTTCTGCACCTGGTTATCTCCCATCGCTTATCACTTGTCTTCTTAACGCGACCCGCCCCCTCCTTATCGTCAAACTATGAAGGCCTCTGACGTTACGAACCCACCTCCTGCAGTCACGACCTTTCTCCCACAGCCCCAGCCGTTCTTCTTCACTAAGCCGCGCCCCCTCTCACCTCTGTCCTCTGAACGGGCGGCGGTGGCGCCGCGACTTGCATAATGGGACTTGGAAGGGCTGTTTAGGCGTGCTCTCACGTGGGCCGCCTCGACTGGCGCTCAGTGCGTGCAAATGGACACGGAAGGGGCCGACCGCAAGGCCGCCGCCACTCTCCCCTCCTCCTCCCCTCCCCCTCCCGGCTCCACCCTTCCGCGCCGGGCGCCACCTGCTTTGTCGCCAGAGGACTTGATTACAGCCGCTTGTGCCAGCCGTGAATGCGCAGGGGTCCCGGCCGCACCCACGGCTGGGCGGTCACCTCGCCGCGTCACAAGTGGTCTACCTGGCACGGTGTGATCGGACGCACATACAAATGGCTTTCATTACTCTAGTGCAAATGCGGGTGTAGATGAAAATACATACGAAATGAATCAATTAAAATACGAACGTTTTGAACTTGCAAACATGAAGGAGAGACGCTTTACTAGTACTTACCGTGTCCAGCAGTATCAATATTTAGTATGAGAATTTATTTAAAAATTGAGTTAATATATTTTGGCGGATCAATAAATAAAAATGTGAGCAACTCTTGTTAAAAAAGAGTAGAAAGCAAAAAAGAGTTTTTAAAGCAAAAAATAAAAATAAAATAATATGCGTGGCTTCTTTAAGAAAACTTACTTTCATATTTACACATATTGAGATAAAAATTATGATTACTTTTCAATATAATAATTACCTGATTGATTAGATCTTGTCCATACCAACAATACAAAAGGATCTGCACCAGCATCGATGCCAGATTTACCATATACTTAATGAAATTGCCTGCTTCTTTGGTCGACTGCAATAACAAAAGCATTTCGATATTAGTATTTATAACGTTGAAGCTGCGTATAATTACGCAATAGTGTACTTTCGTTTCACTCACCACTGTAACTTGGTAAACAGCCATACAGATAATAATCATACTTCCCATAAATTGTACGATCATAATGTAATTCATTTTCTCTTCTAAGTCGTATGTAAAGCTGAAAATACAGAGTTACGATTAATTTATATTAGAGAACACGATTAATTTCACCGACAAAATTTTAAATTGATTTTGCGCAGTTAAACGCAAACATAAATTACATCTAATTTTTAAAATCTCTTTTAAAAACTCTGTTCATTGGTTTAAATATTTTAATACATACATTAGGTTTTTAAGCAGATTCAGATTTTGCTATTCTTACATAAAATATTTTTGAATATATGAACGGTGACGTTGCCACAAGTCCCGAAATTATAGGCATTACGAATCAAAGTAAAGATTGTCTTGGACCCATTTAATATATATATATATATACACGAGGTATAAACGTAACTTAAGAAATTAAGAAGGAAATATATATATATATAATATTGTCATAATTGTTATGAACAAATTGAGAGAGAAAAGTACACAAAGGGTTTATAAAAGTCACAGTTTTAATTGGAGAACCGTTGGTTAGTAATGTTCATAAGGCACAACAAATATTAGCACATCCGAGCCATGCCTTAGTGTACATCGGGTCATGTAGTTGTTATTACATTTGTTTTCTTGTAAGAAACACGAGCCCTTTTAAAGAACAGGTACCTCAGAAAGAAACAAGTAAATCGTTAGAATGTAATACGAAAACTAATTGGAATAAAAGAAGAGGCATGTAATCATCGGCATCAGCTTATAATAATTGAATAGGAAGATAACAATGAGAGCAAAAAATTCGCAAACAGGTAAAGATTGCAGCTCACGTGAGGTATATTCATGCGTATCTACTCGTAAAGATGAAACTCACATGTTTTTTTTGCTTTTTTCGGTAACCGTCAAAAATGCTTTTTAGGTACAAATTTGCATTGCAGAAGCATAGAAACACTCTGGAAACATGAATTATCTTTATTGTTTACAAAAGAACTGAATATATTTGTTCAGAAAGAAAAAATAGTTCAAAAAATAAAAAAGCAGTCGCATTGTGTAAATTAGGTGCTTTTTCATATCTGTGTTAATTGTTTCTTTCTGAACAAATATACTAATTTCTTTGGTAAATAATAAACAGTTTACTTATTTCTGAAGTGTTTCTATGATTTTGTATTGCAAATTTTTGTCTAGAAAGGATTTTTTGAAACCAACGTTTGAGTGCTTATAGCAGCTCATCCATTTGGAATATCGCAGTAGGTTATTAGACAAAATAGATAGACAGATAATAGACTGATTTTATAAAGTTTGATTTGTGCTAATGTTCGGTGGCAAATATTACAATTAGAATTAGAACAATTACAAAACTTTTAAAAACATTTACTATTAGAATTACAGGTTAATGTGCTACTTCTAACTAATTTCTAGTTATCTCGAAATTGACTTCAATTTTATCTAATACTTCACTCTCCTCCTCTCCCCTCCATTACATTACACTACACTTAATTTCATTATATTAGGGACATTGCCATAATAGTAATAATAATAATAATAATAATAATAATAATAATAATAATAATAATATGCTTTAAATTGTCAAACTCAATGTGTCAAAATAGCTTATTTAAAATTATCTAAAACGTTTCAACTTCTCCTCCCCGGACATCCCGTATATGAAAAAATCGATTTGATACCATTTGTAAACAAACCCTTCATTTACGCTAACTAAGTCTCCCGCTCTAGCGCAAGGAGCTCACTTGAGCAGCTCCTGGTGGTGCTCGATGCATCGGATGAGCGCGCGGTACATCTCGATGTTGAGCAGCGCCTCCTCGCGTCGCTCCATGTCCTTGCACACCTCGAACTCCCAGACGACGCCGCGCCGGTGCAGCGTCTCCTCGCCGTCGATCAGCTTGATCGTCTTCTTGCCGCCGCCGTCGGCCGAGCGCGGCGGCGTGGGCGGCAGCGTCGACACCGCCGACAGGTACTCCAGCGCCGCCTGCGAACCCGCGCGCCCCGCGCTTCAGCCACGCCGCACTGCGCGAGGCGAGCGTAAGAAGGGACTCTGCTGGCAGCGTACCTGCAGCCTTCCTATTTCTACGCGCTCATTTTGTATTTTTTACAGTTAGCTGATTTGTTAATCATCTTGCAATGTCGTCGCTCTGTTTAATATTCATTTGCTTCCCGACTAGTCAAGGTGGTCCCTTCTTAGAGTAACTCCTCTATACAGTGAAATGTGAATAAAGCGACCACTGCGAGTTCCATGAAGAAAGTAGCCAGATGGTGGTTGCAAGTATTCCAGCGCCGATTGCGCACCAGCGCACCCCGCACATCAGCCACGCGCTCTACGCAAGACCAGTATAAGAAGGGACCGCGTTGACAGCTACTGCTTGGCCACTGCTAGCCACACACCTGCAGCCTGCCTATTTCCCCGAGCTCATTTTCTCAGTTTCAAGTTAGCGCATTTGTCAATGGTTTCATCACTATCGCTTGCAATGTCGTCGCTCTGATGAATATTCATTCGCTTCCCGACTTGATATTCATTTGCTTCCAGGACAGTTAAAGTGGTCTTTAGAGTAATTTCTCTATATAGATTAACGTGAAGAAAGCGACGACTGCTAGTTCCATGCAAAAAGTAGACTGTTATGGTTGTTTCTTAATAAGAAGAATCGTTTTTATTGCTGAAATGTTTTTTTTAATTCTAGACATTGAATGTTGATCATTTTCCTGTGCACGAGCGCAACCCACCCGTCAGTACAACATGAAGCTTTATTTTATCTTTTAAAACTTTTGTATATTATATTCTCACAATTTTCTTTAATCGAGTTCTTAAAAGGAGTTAATTAATAAAATTGCTGTTTTAATACTAGTCGCTGGTGGGGGAGAGGGATGGTCTTTTTACACGTTTTACCTACAAAATATGAGTGTTCGTTCCAAATCGTTAGTTGACAGGAGTTTTGTTTAATAGGGGTGGTCTTTCAGTTTCGATTTGAGTTTTTGAACAGACAGGGTAAGACAAGAATCAATAGCTTATTACAAAAATCGACCTGACACTTGCGAACTGCGCTGTCCCAGTGGGAGTGTTTGATCTCAAAAGAATTCTAAGAGCTGAGTTGGGGTCAGTCTCATAACGGGCAGTAGCAAGTGCGTGGAGTGGGTTCGCAAAGTACGAGAATCCACTGTTGACCAGAATGTTCACTGCAAGATAATTTGGATGGTTTTCGAGTCTGTTCTCACATCTTCTGCTGCATTCTGTAATGGATACAGAAATCTGGCGTAGAAGTGACAGTCAAACCCCCAAGCACATTTAGGGGACCTCCCGCGAGGTGCGCGTGCTCGATAAAGGTCTTCAGACCAGCGTCGGAAGTAGGCTTCCAAAGAAGCCTGGGTTCGAAACTCGGGTGCGGAACACTGCCTAAGGGCGGTCTCACCTCTAACAATTCCGTACTCTAAATAAATAATGCATCAAACTACTTTTCTTGGAAATTAACCCGGCAGTACACGCTCCACTTTCTGTAGCGTCAGTACTCGCATCTGGTCTCACAGATCCTTCTGCTTGCAGTTCCCGTGTTTCAACTTTCGTAATTTCGTCCAAGGGAGTGTCCCAGGATAAAAATGGATTTTCAATAATGACAAATATTTTAAAATATTGATTACAGTATTTAGTGTTTTGTAAGTAAATGAAAAAAACATAAAAATTACTTGAGGTGATATATTATTTTCTCTGCATTTCATATAGTTTACGTATTTGACAACTTTCGATCCTTGTATACTTTACACCATGTTAGTCAATGCTCCAAACAAATAAACGTTTTGCATATTTGGCACAAATATATTTCTAAGCCGCGTAACGCACTGAACGAAGATCGTCTCACGAGTGCACGTAGGTGTTCTCTGAGGCCCCTGCAACGTTTTTGATTGTCTCGCCGCTAGAAAAGACAAAAATACTCAATTTCTCGGAAGAGGTGTGACTTATATCTGTTGAAGGAAAAGGAACTTGGAGGCAGTGCTCAGGGGCGCGACCAAACTGCAATCACAATATTAAAGACTTCCCGGGTCTCTTCAGAACAGCTGCAAGCACTGTGGGTGATCTGGGCTATCCGGGTCGAAACGTCGGCAAACAGCCTTCGACGCGGCGTCACGCGGACAGCCCAGATCACCCACATGACTCTGGCCGCGGAAGCCTACGACTTCAGCTGCTTGCACTGCCGCGTTAAATGAATTCCAGCGAGATCTCACCTCCTCCGTCAGTATGAGGGGCAGCGTAATGCCCTGTTTCTCCTTCTCCTCGGTCACCCGCCGCGCTCTCTTGGAGACGTTCAGGATGGAGAACTGCAGCAGCTTCAGCTCGCCGCACACGTGGATGATGATGCTGACGTAGAAGACGTCAAGCGACGCGCTCACCAGGTACGAGAAGAGGCTGGCCGTGGTGTGGTAGGCGTACGTCAGCTGGTAGTAAGGGCTGACGGTGGTGTTGAACGGCAGCCACGCGATCAGCGGGAGGTTCTTGTTGTGGCAGCCCTGCGAGTGGTCGAGGACGCCAATGGTGTGGATGAGAACGCTCGACACGTATTGCAGCGGGCGAAGGAAACACCAGAACACCACGGCCAGTCCGCCGAGTCCCAGAAATCCTGAGGAGGAAGACAAGTTTTTTAATTTATTATATTCGATCTACCAAGTGGCCTTACAGAAGTGAAAAAAATATATTTACATTAGCATAATGTAAAATTTTCTAATGTTATTTCGATTATTCTTACTCGACAAGTTATATATACAATTTCATGTATGTTATAATAATGTTGGTTATTGACTGAGGAAAGACAAGGGTTTTGTTCAGAGGCAGAGGTGGATGTTTCTCTTATATTTTATCGTATTTTAAGTCTGATCTGTAAGGATGAGTGATAATCTTTTTCTGAGTATCGATGGAGAATTAGGTCTTTGTGTTCTCCATTTTCTTGTGCAAGTGATCAGCGGAAACTGCTTTAGACTTTATTTCTATAAAGCACGTATTCCTGACCCTTTTTCTTGCCTCGGCCTGTTTTGAAATAACTACTTGCTTTATCGACTCCAATGATTTTTTTCTATAATAATATCCAGCGCATAACGTTATCCTGTTTTCTTTTCTAATCATCCAAACGGTAACGAGTGTTGCTAAACAAACACGTACTTTCTCACACATATTTTCACACAAAATTACGCACAATATACTGAAATTAACAAATACTTGAACATGACCTTATTTCAAAATTTATCTTTAAGGAATAGACATAGTTAAGAGAAAGTAATCTGTCTTGATAATTGTAGTTGAAGGAAGACGCTGAAAAAAGTTTGAATTTTCGAAATTTTCAAGAAATCATAGTTTTCAACGAACATGAGACCTTCACTAATCTCTTAAACATTCTTCCTACTATCTAATAACAAAATTTAATCAAACACGATCGAGCCATTTTTTAGAAAATTTTGAAAATATCCCAGTTGCCCCAAACCCTAAAATACGGTTTTAAATTCAAGGAGACGCGTCATCTGTCAGATCAGTTGAGGAATATTAATTTTGTAAAAAATCGGCTGAAAAGTTTAGCCATTAGCATTGTTCGCCGACAGATAGACGGACGGACAGACGAACAGACAGACAGTCGTTTTCCCGTCATTCGATTTTTCGGTATGAAGAACTCACTAGTAATCGATTCTGACTACACTACGTATTGTAAGATTTTTTTCTAAATTTTTTTTTACAATTTTTTAACTAAATTTTTTCTTAGTTACCACTTTAGTTTAGTGTTAGATTTATCTACTTTTCCATTGCCAGGATCCGGTAATAAGACTTTTTCTATCGAAAATTCATCATTCTTTTTGCCGTGGCATTCTTTCTACTTGCTGAGCGGTTATAAAAGCGTAAGTGGAAATAAAAACAAAATAAAAGCAGTGATGTAATTTGTTATGTTTTCAGCTTTAGTCTGAAAACAATTATCATTACTTAGCTCAAAAAATTGCTGATTTCGCCCCACGATTACAATTTTTTTTCTTCCAGGGCGGATCTAGAGACAAATTTTGGGAGGGAAATTTCAAATATCGAATGTGTCAAATAACAGGTTTTATACATTTCGCAGAATATACTCAGTTCATCCTCCAATTCGATTTTATTCGTTTTAATGGTTATAGGAAAATAGTTTTGCTTGAATTTTCGTTAAAATAAATATGACAATTTTTTAGATGGGGATGATTTCCCTCATTTGCCTCCCCGTGGATCCGCGCCTGTTTCTTCACTACATACGTAGTAAGGTGAGACAGTAACAATTAAATAATAATAATAATAATAATAATAATAAGAAGAAGAAGAAGAAGAAGAAGAAGAAGAAGAAGAAGAAGAAGAAGAAGAAGAAGAAGAAAAAGAGAAAGAGAAAAAAAGAAGACGAATTTTTAAAAAAAAGTAAAAATAAAAATAGGAAGTAACCATAACTACAATGGCAAAGAGTGTAAAGGAAAAAAAGAACCGAATGTGAATGGGCCTCACCCACAGTGACGGCGCGCGAGTGCCAGACGGACTCCTCGAGAATGTGGTCGCTCTCGCTGTCGTGGTCGATGTACACGATGAAGATGCGGTCCAGCCGCTCCAGCAGGTCGTGGATGTCCTGGCGCATCTGCACCGTCTTGACGAACTTGTAGAGACACACGGCGAACGACAGCATCGACGACACGTTCACCGTGAGGCCGTCGAAGTCGCCCCAGCACACGAACACGTCGACCAGCTGGCTGAACACGCACGACGCCAGCAGCAGCATGCCCAGGTTGGTGTACCACCGGTACACCGCGCTGTTGCCGATGCCGTGCTCGTCCGGCGGCGGCAGGATGCCCAGGTAGTGCAGGATCTTGAGGTTGAGGTCGAAGTCGATGTGCTTTCGGTCGTCCAAATCCGGCTCGATGACGGTGGCAGACATGATGGACAGTGAGCAGCGTGAATGGTGTGGCGAATGTGTTATTTGCTGTAGTGACACTCGTGTTTCCCAAGAAGATAATGAAAGTAAATGTTCTTCCGTAATTTGTGTTCTATCTGCGATAACAGATATTTAAAGAATGTCGGATAACATGTATTTACGACAGTTTCAGTTCAATATAAGCGTAACAATTTATGTTTAATTAACACAAGTTTCTTTTTAATTTCATAGTGTTTCTCATTTATTATATGAAATCACAATTTTCCTTACAGCTTATCGTGCTTCACGTATTTAGTATTTAATATTTATATCATAAGCTGTGTGAACAAAAAAAAGCTCAAATTTAAAACACGTTGAATCTTACTTTTTCTATTTGATACTGGTACGGATTTTCCAAACAATTTAAAGTGAATTGTTCTTTGTGCAGTCGTGTTTGGTGTATTTCATCTCTACAGCGAGACTAAATTCTATGAATACCCAGTAATTAACAATTGTCTTTGCTGCACGTGTAGAATATATACTCTGAAATAATAAGTATACTTATCCCAATTAAGTCAATTCCTATTAAAGCTCCAGTTTACTCATTGAAAGCATAAGGTACAAAAGCACAGCACGACATAAACCGCTTTAGTAATAGAACGGAATCCTCGTAGAGAAGAATCACTATCGTGATCCAGCTCATAGAGAAATTCCTTTCAACGTGGATCCCGGAATCCCGCTTAATAATTACTCGTCAACGATACCTTTGGCGACACGTGAACGCAATTTCCAAGCGCTTGAGACCTGCGGCAAATCGGAGTCACATTTTCGCTCAGACCGCCGCCGCCGCCGCCGCCGTCACCCCTCCGCGCTCGACCTCTGAAAAGCCTCGCCGCCAAGTGGCTTACGCTCGTTGCGAGACCTCTCACAATCACGGCTGCGGCTCTCATCGCTCGTCAGCTGTTCTCGGAAGCAAATTGCCCCATCAGGGCCCATTATCGGCCAGCATAGTCCTCAGAGCTCTCGACGCAGGATGTCCTCGCAAGAGACCTCGAAAGCCGCCACGTGGTAATAATTTCCCTGAATTTTTCACCGCCCGCTCGTGGCTTGTTTTCTTCTGCAGGAGAATCCAGTTTTTGTTTGTGTGGAGATTGATAGAGAATATTCCTGAAATACTGCGGCTTGTGTATGTACACGATAGTTTTTAAATAAAGTGAATCCAAAAGTATTTTTCAATAAAATTTAATGACAATATATTCTATGAAATTGTGTGGTTTTAAGTTTCTTTGACATTTTGCCAACTTTGTTAAAAATTGCCATTTTAATTCCGAGTATTTTAGGTTTGCCTCAATAATTTTTTGCTTACTCTAGCCAATTCTTTTAATAGGTATTACAATCACAGTTCACGTGCGGGACAGGGCTGAATAAAAAAATATATTATTTGATAATAAAATGGTAAAAACCATGATTTTCATAAATTCAAAATTACGTTATTTTTTTATAGGATCTTATATTAAATGACTATTTTATAAAAAACAAGTGTACATTTTTATAATATAGTTTATAAAGTTGTTCAATTAAACATGCAATGTTCTTTAAAGATATTTACAGCAGAAATTTAATATTAAAATTACTTATTAAGAGTCACATCTAGTATAATATTAATTTTTAAAAGACACAATTTGAGCAATTTATGTAGGTTCGTGATCTCTCAGTTATTTTAATTAAAGTTTATAAAACTTAGAAAAGGTATTATCAAATATTTGATATGTTTTTATATTAAAACAAAATTTAACACAGATTATTTTAGTTTATATGTATTGTTCAGAACATCTGTTGCTAAACTAATTGTACATAAGTATTGTACATAGTAAATATAATACTCAACGTAATAACGTGCCATTTAGTAATCAATGTATTTGCATAAATGTACAACAAACATGCAAATATTGTTTTGTCTACTTTTATTAATAATATGATATAAATTATAATATTCTAAGCTAGTTCGTTTCTCAAATGCTCAATTATTGTACTAAAGACCTTTAGTTAATTAATGTATTGGAGAATTTTCTTAATTAAAATCACAGTAAGCTGTGAACTCGTGTTCATTTTCGGTAATATGGATATGAAATAATAATCAAAACCATAATGAAGATGAGAAAAGGTTTTAAATCAGTATTTTAAAATAAACCGTCATAATTGTTTCTAGTAATTTTTAAATATCAAAGGGTGGAGGCCATTTACAATTCATAGAAGTAAATAAAAACGTAGAGCACTTGATGTGGTTTTTTCATTAAAATCTTCTATACAAATTTTTTTATCAATAACAATAGAGTTTTAAATTGAATTCCGCAGTGACATTATTGGTATTATTATTATTATTATTATTATTATTATTATTATTATTATTATTATTATTATTATATAGCAGATTATGTTGAGTAAATATAACGGAAGAAGATGTTATTAACGAAATACATATTTGCTTTTAGAAGAAGTTTATTTTTAATATAATATTACGTAGTTTGATACTTTCTATGTGAAATTGTTAGAAGTAATGTAAAATGATTACATTTTAAGATTTGAGAAGTCATGTGATTATTTGCAACTATATATTATTTTAATTTCGTGAATTTGAAAGTAATGTTTACAGATATATGAGGAGAATAAATATTCTTTATCAACATTTCTTCCATCTTGGAACATTGACATTTGAAAAATGTAGTAGAATGATATAAATTATAAAACGAGAAGCTAACTTGTATCAAATTACTCATCAGTGAAAGGTATTTTTCACCACACCTTTAGTTTTTTCAACCAAATGCGAAATGTTCCTACGACGTGCGTCACCCGATTACTTTCATTTCAGTTCTGAAACTGAATTAACGTTGTCTGTTTTCCCCGTATTCTATTCATAGCTGATCATGCCCTGAGATGCTGTGTCTCGCTTCACCGAACATCGCCCGTTGGAGCGTGTTTCCTCCTTTTAATTGGGTCTGTAGAAACGAAATTTATCTCGTTCCTTGATGAGCCTCGGCTAAAAATGAAGTTAGCAATTTGTTGCGTTTTGCTGTGTCTTCATTTTCAGCCCACTCAAACCGGAGACTAAATTTGATTACCTCCTATTCAAGCGCGCCTTTCCCCGTCTCGCAACGAGATAATTTAGCGAAATGTGTGTATTTGATTTTGACTGCGCAGACGTCTTCTCGGAACTGAACTTGCGATCGAATGTTCTCGAATTAAAAAAAAAGTGAGATGAAGTATGCAAATGAGATAAGAGTCAATTGTGACAATTTTGATATTATTTCTGCTTTCGTGATACTTTATTTAATTATAAATGCATTTAACGCTACGCAGTTTGACAGCAATTCAATTATCGCAGTCAGCTTCTAGCGCAATAAAAATTAATTTTCAAAACCCAAAAGACTACAAGGAAAACAAGCTAATGACACCCAAGCAGTCGTGTAGCTAGTTAAAATACATATGAAGGACTGTAAAAGTTTGTATTAATCGTTTACTGTGAGTAATAGTGTGAATAATGAATAAGATGTATTTAGAATCTGAAACAAACGAAAATGAAAGTTCATTATTTTATGTTTGAATTATCTTAACAGAAAATTGAACTTCCTTGCAAGCAAATTGATATATGTAGAATGTAATGAGATATTTGTACAAAAATACCTAGGGTGCAAGTATAGCATAGTAGATCGAAAAAGCGGGATGTGGGTTTGATGCAACATTACTGACATATTCACAATGAATACTTTTATCCCATTTACATCATTATTAGTTTTCAGGAAATAACTTTATCTAACAATGTTTCATTCTGTAAATGCAAGTCCTTTCATCACATTTCTGATTTCATTTGTTTTGAATGAAAGGAATCGGTAAATTTATGGATCATTTGTAAGACTTCAACATAAATCAATTTTGACTTCAACCGTATTGAGTTTACAATTAATTCCTTCAATTTTACAGCTTCAGAATAGCATTTTATACATCAGGTGTGAATCCAAGAACATTTGCTAAAATAGTTAGCTTGCCCTACATTTGTATTTCCTAGAATTTATTTACGTAAAATTAAAAGGATTTTATATAAGGAAAGTCGAAGCTTTTAAAGGACTTATTTTATTACAATGGTATTGTGCATTTTAGTTAAAATGTTTCAATGATAAATACGTATATTGTGTGGATAACTTGTAAGTAAATGTTTAAGTTGAAAATAAATCTAATTATACAACTCGTTAGTTCATTCCAAGAGTTGAAAATATAAACATTAAACTTAATTATTAGATAATGTTCCATAAAACGCCTTATTTCTCTCAATAAAGGAGAAGTGAAAAGTGGCAAAACAATAGAACGCCAGCCAGCACGTTGAATGGCCCCGCGGTCAGGGTGAGCGTGCGCGGGCGTGGACACTCACTGAGATGACGATCGCGAACGACAGCACGTGAAAGGACCGTACAGTGACAGTAAGAGGGGGTGGACATTGACTTTCACCGAAACGAAGGTCTCGAGCGCCAGCACGTTGAAGGGCCCCGCGGTGTGGGCGAGCGGGTGCTAGGCGCGGGCGCAAGCACTAACCGAAACGACATTCTCGAGTGACAGCACGTTGTAGGGATCCGCGGTGAGAGTGATTGGACACTCACCTAGAGGAAGTTCTCAAGTGACCGCACGTTGAAGGACCCCGCGCTGAGGGTGACGAGGTTCTGGGAATGGGTGTCTGCACCCACCGAGACAAAGTTCTCGAGCGACAGAATTTTAAATGGCCCCGCGGAGGGTGAGTGGGGGCAGGCGTGAGCACTCACCGAGACGAAGTTCTCGAGCGACAGCACGTGAAAGGGCCCTACAGTGAGGGTAAGAGGGGGCGGACATGGGCATTCTCCGAAACGAAGGTCTCGAGCGACAGCACTTTAAAGGACCACGTGCTGAGGTTGAGTGGGCTGAGGTTGAGCTAGGCGTGGGCGCAAGCACTCCCCGAAACGACATTCTAGAGTGACAACACGTTGTAGGGATTCCCGGTGAGGGTGAGTGGGCACGGGCGTGAACACTCAACGAGACGAAGTTCTACAGTGACCACGTTGATGGGCCCAGCTGTGAGGGTAAGCGGACGCTGCGACCAGGTGACGAAGTTTCTCGAGCGACAATACGTTGAAGGGCCTCGCAGTGAGGGTCAGTACTCACCGAGACGAAGTTCTCGAGCGACAGCACGTTGAAGGGCCCCGCGGTGAGGGTGAGCGGGCGCTGGGCGCGGGCGATGGTGAGCGCGAGGGAGCGGCCGAAGGAGCCGCCCGCGCCGCCCCAGCCCACGCTATACGCGGCCTCCGCCAACGCCACGCTCTGCGCACCCACCACGCCTCCCATCACTCGCTGCCCAATCACACACGCCATCGCTAGACACATCCGCCCCAATCGCCCACTGACCCCATCACACACGCCAACACAAGGCACCACTACCCCGATCACAATGTAGCCCCATCACACACTTCAAAACAAGGCACCGCACCACTACTCCAATCACACTGTGGCCCCATCGTACACGCCAACACAAGACACCGACACCCTCATCACCCACTGCCCCTATCACACATGCCAACACAAGAGACGGCCACCCCGATCACACACATTGAATCTAACCTCACCACACCCACGCTCCAACCACATGCACTTTCCCATCACTTTCCCGCCCTCACATCTCCACAGCGATTGAATCTCCGCTCCAATCACAACTTCACCCTTTACACTCCCGCACCTATTACATACCCGCTCCGATCACACACCTGCCCCGACCACACATCCGACCTGATTACAGACCTGCCCTGATCACGCACCCACCCCGATCACAGACCCACTTCGTTCACACACACACACACACACACACACACACCGATATACAC